ATCAGTGAGGGGATTCTGCAGACTGTTGAGGGTTCAGCCTCCTGATGAGTCGGTGAAACTCCGACGAAACAGTTTGTCACAGCCCCTCGTTTGTTGTCCTCTTCTCTCTCTCTGCCTACGGTTTACCGGGCAGTTCTGTTTGTGATGATATATATATATATATATTCTATTTGACGATATATATATATATATATATATATATATATCTGTTTGTGACGATATATATATATATATATATACTTGTCCTATCGTTTGGCCTGTGACGTTGGGCCGGTGCTTGCATGTGGGACTTGTCATCTAGGATTTGTTTCCCCCTGTTTTGTTGTGTACGGCTGTGTCCTTCCTCTTTTCTTTGCCTTTTTGCCATTTGGCTGTGTGCAAGTGGGTCGATATGACACACGGGGGTGGGGGCAGCCGCCGCCCAACCTACATCCACGTGGGCGGCCTTGTATGCAAGAGGTTTTGAACAGGGGGAGTTGTAAGTAAAAAGATAAAAAATGAATTGATTTTTTCTTGTTATTTTTTTCGCTTTTGCGCTCTGACATCTTTGTGACAATATATATATATAGAGGCCAGCTTACTAGGTTTGAGTATGTCTGCAACAACTAGTATGATTTCAAAACTGCAGCAGCGATGCTCACACGCCGCATGCTTTTTCACGGGCACTCTCCAACAACGCTTGCGAAAGGATGGACTTCCTATACTCGTAAACGTCAACATAGGTACCCTGCGCACGTGACCGGCCTCTCCAGCTGGTTCCGCAGCATGCTTCGATGGTCTATTCACCACCCGCTTTCTCAGGTATCCACACACTGTCCTCGGACTACGCCTGTCACAGCCCCGCCTTCATTACCGGCGCCTGTCACACCTATCACAACCTCTTCTTCATTACTTGTGTCTGTCGCACCTGCGTCCTCATTAGTCTTAGTAACCCCTTCCATGTCGTTTATGACCCTGGCTGCCCCTTTTCGGTTCGCAGCCTCTTCCTTATCGGCCTTGGTGGCTTCTATGATTGATTCTGCGGGAGCAACTCGACCCGCGGCTGCTGTGTCGCCCTTGGTCTCGGTGTGTTCCTCCATGGCATCCGTGGCCATGCCTGCATTACCACCTGCAGGTCCCCTCTTCGAGTCTCACCTACGACTGCCCCCCCCTTTCTCTGCTTCAGCCACTTCACCACCCCTGACTTCATCACCCCTGACTTCATCACCCCTGACTTCACTGCCGTTATTTCCCCTGGTTTTATCTCCGTTTGTTACCCACCTTTCGGCTACTCTACCACCCCTGTCTTCACCACTCCTACCTCCCCTGGTTTTGTCTCCATCCGTGACCCCTCTTCCTAATCCACAAACCACTTCGTCCACACAAACTCCGTCATCATGTTCTGCCCTTGCAGAAAGCCTAGTTCGCCGTCCTAAACGCCGGCTTCGGCCTCAACTTACTTCCCTTTCCTCCATCTCTGTTCTTGGACGAAGAAGAACCCGTTCATTCTCCCCACCATGGCCCTCCCCAACATCCCATCCCCGTCTTTTGCCACCCCAAGCATCCTTACCACGCCTGCAACGCTCTTCGATTGCAGACTTTTCTGCAACGCGGCAAACACAAAATAGGAGGGATGATGGCGAGGGACCATCCGAGGATAAACTTGGCAAGGGGACTGTAGGAGATTCTGTAGAAAATCTGCCTGATCGGCCTCCACCGAATCTGTGTGGCCTCGCTGCTACTTACATCTGCTTACAAGCCTATCGTCGTGAACCATATACTCACTCTGATTTCTTGGCCGTTGCTTCTGATCTTGATGTTAAGGAACGTGAGTTACATGGCGATAACCCGACTTTGCATCCCCCGCAAGATAGTAATTACACTCCACATGGGGGATTCCATGTCTCTGTTTTGGAGACTGCTTTGATAAGGCGCCGACTTGATATGCAGCGTGCCCCTTCGGGTGGCGACCCAGACCACTGTTTGCACGTTTGTGCCTATATTCTACATGCTCCTGGCCACTACACCGCTCTTGTCCGTGCTTCTGGTTCTTGGGAATTATGGAATGGCGGTGCTATGGTGCAAACTATTACTGCCATCTGTTATCTCGTGCGTAATTACCCTAGCCTGCAATTGTTCTAGGTCATTGACTCTATATGGGTACCTTGTGTACTTCCATGCCCGCCTCTATGCCTAACTCTGTGCCTGCCTCCGTACTTGTCTCTGTGCCTGTTTCTGTGTCTGTCTCCTTCCATATTACTGACCCTATGGGTACCTCGTGTACTTCCGTCACTGCCTTTGCACCTGTCTGTGTGCCTGCCTCCGCACCTGTCTCCATGCCTGTTTATGTGTCTGTCTCCGTGCCTACCTCCATGTCTGTCACCGTGCCTGCTTTAGTCTTCATTCCCCCACATGCTGCACTAACACCTTGTGACCTCCTTCTTTGTGAGATCACTTACACTTGGTTGTGGAAAGCATCGACTTTGTCGACATTACTACATCCGTATAATTTTTGGGCCCGCTGTCGATAGGGATGCCACCTGTATCCGGATTGTGAACATCCTCTACATCCAGATGCAGTATGTCCCATTTGTGCCTGCGGGCGCTATAGCGAACGTGCACTTAACTTTCATGGTGAACGCCCTACAATCGTCATGGCCTGCAACCGGCATGCCCTCTGTCGTGCATGCTTCAGAGGTATGGTTAATGCTAGCCGCCCTGGCTCCTGCTGTGACGAAGTTGCTTACCTGAATGGTTTTCGTTCTGTAGATCAGCGGGAGGGCTGCTACCATCGCCCGCATCCTTATGACAGTTGTCCTATCTGTCCTGATGGTCTTACTTAGACGTAACTTGCACCCTGACAAAAATGTGCAGGTGCGCTGAAAAGAGTGTACAAGAATGTGCAAAGGTGGGAAACCCTTCACTAAAACTGCAAAACAGTGAATAATGCAGTAAAAGAAGAACACAAGTTTGTGTCATTTTACTTTGTTTGTACCCTGCACCCTAACACCCTCGAAGGAAAAGTCCAAAGGGTGAAAATGAGAATGACAAATGAAGAAGTGCAGGTGTGCTGAAAACCGAACGTGG